CCTTTTATAATTTGGAGGACAGATAAGAAACCAAGTTAATTGTGTTTTAGCAAATCTTTTAAGTGCTTTCATTTAATAGATAGCTGAGAATTATTTATCATTACTCTGTTCATTGTTTGAATTAAAATTAATACCAAAATGGTGCTTGAGAATGGTCTTTTTTCCTTTTACATTTAAATAGGCTAGACATTTGCTTTGTTTTTACCATTAATTTGTTTTCACACAGCCAGCAAAGGTAACCATCAACTCAGAATTAATTAGTGGAATCAAAATTAATGAGGTTTTACTGTATTGGGCCATTTTCACTGTAGGCCAGTTTTCTTCACATGAGTTGGACTAGCATTTTCTTGAGAGAAGAAAAATTAGATTTATTTTAATCCATATTTAAAAAGCAGAGAACCATCTTTTCTTGTGAGTTAAGTACCTCTAATAACTCTGCCTTCTTGGGCTTAGTAATATTGATTTTTTTTTTCATCTTGATTATTTTGGCTATTTCCAGACTGTTGTTCATTACAGTAAAGCTGGAGTTAACTCTTCAGATGCGTATTTTCATTTACATGGACAGTCTATGATTTTATTTTGTGGACCATTCAAATTGTCATTTGCCAATTTTCATCATTGAACTATATGAGAGAGGATCAGAATTATTCTTTAAAACATTTATGTAAATATATGTTAGAATGTATCATGTGGAAACAAAAGCTAGAATTTTTGGAGTTGTACTTCTTTTTTCTCTTTAGAAGATTACATCCTATAATCTACTTTTTAAAGCAGATCCTATGACATTATTTAATATTTGGTTTGTATGTTCTTTGTTTTTACTAATAGAGAGTGATAGCATGATGTAGAGTTTTTCAATCTTTTTATGAGGATAGATTGCATTTTCTTGAATTTTTTTTTTTTTTAGCTGAGCTATCCTGCCACCTGTTGGCAGCTCAGGGGCAGCTCAGCTCAGACTGGGACTCAAACCGCTGTTGCTTAAAGCTCTCACTCTTTTTTTTTTTTTAAAAACATTTTTATTTATTTTTTTTAAGATTTATTTTTTTATTGGGGAATTGGAACAGTGCTGGGGAATTGGGGGAAGGGGAACAGACAAGTTCCTGTCCTTTGTTCTTCAGTCTAGTTGTGGAGGAAGTTGCTTCACTGGCCCAAGTTGGCACCATCACTGCGCTCTTCTCTGGTGAGGCAGGTCAGTCGCCGGCTTCTGGACGGCTGCTCACTGCGGCTGCTGGCCGCTCACGCTGGCTGCTGGCTACACACAGTAGCCCATGGCAGCCCACTGCCACAGGGGCTGCAGCCTACGCCATCGCCGGCGACTCATGGCAGCCCAGCTCCAGGTTGAGCTGTTGTTCAGCATCTTAGCTGTGGAGGGCAGTGTCACTGGCCCTCATATGTGGGATCTGAACCGGGGCCCTCTGGCGTCCCAAGCCAGTTCTTATCCATCACGCCACTTGGCCGGCCCAGAGCTCACACTCTTGAGCGAGCTCTTAACCAACTGAGCCACTCGGCCGGCCATTGAATTTTTAAAATTGTCTGCCTGCATGTAAATGGGAAGAGTGAAAGTTCTGACAGTGAACTTCTCATGAGGAGTTGATGCCGAAGGTCGTTTGTTTGCCTTTTTTGTTTGTTTGCTTAATGTCTGCAGTCCTTTCTATGCTGAGCTGTACTACAGTACAAGATACCTGGCAGAGAGAGAATGTGTAGCGCAGTGGTTGTCTGTAGTTTCCCGTCATCTCAGATGTTGAGATCTATCAATAGATCATAATTTGAGGAACGCTGAACATAGTAAAGAATATTGATAAAAGTTCACCTTTTCTTTTTTATTTTATTTTAAAGAAAAAAACAAACTTCACCCTGACTCGTGCCTCATTTTCACTACTCTTTCTTTGTAAAGGAATGACAAGAGTGCATGTGAACATTAATGAAATGACTACGGACTTGGGGACTAGTAAGCAGGCTAGTTAGGTGAATGGCGTTAACTGAGGATCAGCTCATTTGAAAGAAGGTTTTGGAGAGCTGGGATGTGGAAGTGGTAGAGGCAGAAGTAGTGACAGGCGTGGTGAGCACTGTGGCAGATCAGTGCTTGATTAAAGGACGTGAGTGGATGAAAAGTAATGATGTTTAGGAATTAGTCTTTTTTCCAGTTTTTACATTTTCAATTACAGTTGACATACAATACTATATTAGTTTAAGATGTATAACATGGTGATTAGACATTTATAGAACTTACGAAGTGATCACCCCAATAAGTCTAGAACCCATCTGGCACCATAATAGTTATTATATTACTGACTGTAGGAATTATTCTTTTTTAGTTAATTATACACAAGGAAAAAGATCACTGTGAGATTTATTTTCTCAGATGAGAGAAATATATACAATGACCATTTTTAGGCAGATCAATATTGCAAATAGGAAATAATAGTTAACCATTAGCGTAGCAAACCATCCTTTTCTGTAAGTTAAATGATGGATATATTTGATAAATACAAAGTCAACACTAATGGTAATCTATAGAAATGCAGAACATCCATTGTATTAAAATATCTTCAGTTACAATGTATGACTGGTGAAACTCATAAATATTTTATATAGTGGAAATAACTGAAAATCAAGGCATATATTTTTATGGTATATATTATTACCCTGTTTTAGTCTAATGTGCCTATATTTAAATGAATTTTTTGTAGTTTGCCACTTTATTTTGATTTATTGCTTAATTATAAAGTTAATTTTTGTGTGCTGTAAGTCAGCTACCCCCCAGTCTTTAATATGTCTTCTTAAAGAAAGAAATCATGTCTTATGTTTCAGTTAAATGCGCATCAGGGAACATGAAGTCAGTAAGCTTAACCAATGCTTGTTTAAGAAACTTCGATATGGGGCTGGCTGGGTGGCGCGTTGGTTAGGAGTTGGCTTGGGTCGCCAGCTGTGAGCAGCAGGGCCCCAGTTCAGATCCCACATTAAGGCCAGTGACACTGCACCCTCTACAGCTAAGATGGTGAACAACAGCTCGACATGGAACTGGGATGCCGTGAGTCGCTGTCGACGGCGTAGGCTGCAGTGGGGCTGCCGTGAGCTACCGTGAGTGGCCAACAGCCAGCGTGAGCCGCCGCGAGTGGCCATCCAGTGGCTGGCAAGCAACTGCCTCACCCGGGAAGAGCGCAATGATAATACCAACATGGGCCAGTGAAG